TTGAGGTTCTGCATTAGGTTATTTATCTGAGTTCTCTCTGTTTTCCTAATATGGGCATTCACTGCTATGAATTTCCCACATAGAACTGCTTTCATTGTGTCCCATAGATTCCTGTATGTTGTACTGGCATTATCATTTACTTGTGCAAACTGTCTAATTTCTTCTTTAATTTCCTCTGTGTCCCATTGGTTGTTCAGGAGGGTGTTATTCAATTTCCATGTTTTTGCAGGGGTTTTGCAGTTTCTTATATTATTGATCTCCAATTTTATTGCACTATGGTCTGATAATACACAGGGGGTAACTTCAGTTCTTTTACATTTACTTAGACATGTCCTATGAGCTAGCATGTGGTCTATATCACAAACATTTTAAAGCATGCCTATCCATGTGGCATTCTACTGGAAAGTAGGAAAAGGAGATTTTTTAGTATGAAAAGACATGTAGTCTTCCATTACTTGACAATTCAGATATTGGCCAATGATTTCAGTAAGTCAGAATATCTCTGTAGTACATTATAACTGTGAAAGCATATTTATGTACATTGATTCATTTTATATTGAAAACAATTCAAAAGTATTACACAGATATTATCACTTTTGCTTTAATTATGTAAAACGGAAAGCTTAAAAAGTTAAAAGACAGGCCCAAGTTGATGCAATTAATAAACAAGTCTGCTCTCAGACCCATGCCTTCTAATTTCTCATCTGAGCTCTCTCAACATTAAAACTAATAGCATTTCTCAAGTGTTTTATGAAAAATTCTATGATCCTGACATGGTCCTTATAGTGTTTTCAAAATATATCTGTAAATTCTCTCATATTACTCCCTTCAAAGGTAGAGCCTAAAAAGGGGAGAGGAGTATATAACCTAATTCTCCTCTTCTTCTGTGTGTGGTATTTTTAGTGACTCATTGGTAAAGGTGATGCATGTGATGTCTGAGAGTAGGTCGTAATAGGCATTACAGCTTTCTCCCCACTCTCTTATATCATTTATTTGTAGGGAAGTCAGCTACTATGTCATGATGATATTTGGAGAGGCCTTCTCCCCATAGTTATGTGAGTCACCAGCTTGAAAAAGACCTTTCAGACCTGGTCAGGTCTCCAAACAATGGAGCTCCATCTGACATCTTGTCTACAATCTGAGGAGGGTCTCTGACCCAGAACCACATAGCTAAGCTGCTTCCAGACTCCCAGTTCTCAGAAAATGTGTAAGAGGATAAATACATGTTGTAAGTCAATAAATTTGCTGTAATTTTTTTCAGCAATAGGTGAAACAGCCCTCAAAGTATTCTGTGAGCCAATTAAGTTTGGGAAAACTTGTACAATTAGCCATCCATATTTATGAGTTCTACGTCCATGGATTCAACCAACTGTAGGTAGAAAATATTTCTTTAAAAATTGTATCTGTAGTGAACAGACTTTTTGCCTTGTCAGTATTCCTTAAATAGTAT